GCCCCATTCTGTTTTCTGGGTTCACTAGATGTACTACCCACGGCAGATTTAGGTCAGAGACGCTGCAGTGGCGAGGCATGAAGCCCACGAAGTCACCAAACTCTCTCAAGTAGCAACAGCACTGGAATGGGAAATGGGGTTTGGGTTGATACACTTGAACAGTTCTTGCAGCATTCTGCCCAGTCCAAATAATCCTGTTAAAATTCTCTGAAGTGCAGGGAAAACAAAACAAAACAAACTTACATCTTCTGATTTGAAGACTTCAGCCCTTTCCACATACACCAGCTGGCAAACATCCTCCTCTATAGAGTTGAACTGCCGGCCATTGCATGCCATATAAAAGCTATCTGCATCAGGCTGCGCACAAAACAAAGGAAGCCAGTTAAAAAGAGAAAACTTGCAGCTGATACAACTGAGGAAGAGGAGGAGAAATCTGCTGTATCCTCTCTTCTCTCCTCCACCAAGCCCTGTAATACCAGAAGAGATATTTCAGACAGTCAGCTCCTGCCAGCAGGCATTGCATTTTGGCACTGGGTTTAACATTACCACTTGAAGACAAGTGAAGTTCACAGCAGCGACAGCCACTCTGATATTTATTCCCTTCAGCATCTGTTTTGCCCTTTGTCAGCAATTTCAGTGCATTTGCAAAGCAAATTTGGTCTCTGCAAAAATTTAAGAGGGCCACTTGTGTCAGGGAAAGGAACAACAATTTAACTGTGGGAAAGAATCCATTTCACTGGTCACAATTCAGGCATGCTCTGAACCGTGCCCGAGAGTCCCTTGGAAAGAGGCAGAACCAAAACAAAACCTGTCAAATACATCATCCATTTTCACTGAGCAACCTCCCCAAACCCTTTCTCTCGCAAACGATCACACCAGATTGAGGCAAGTTAGCTGAATGCCATGTTCCTGGTCACTCCAGCCAGAAGCATAAAGGCCCTCGAGATCTGCTTTTGCTACCTGCAGATACAGCCATTAGGAGTCACTGGGGAACAGGGCTTCAGGGAATTTCCTAAGAAACAGGAATTTCAGGGGGAATTGAGTACAAATTTAAGGATTTCGTGTAAGGCTCTTTAGCACTAGATATTCACCCATGTAATTTGATACAGCAATATACAAAATGCTTCTTTGCAACTACTGCAAATAGCATAAAATGCACACAAATACTGCTATCTGCACAACAGGCATGGGAAATGGCTCAGGCAGCATTCACGGATGGGGGAAACCTCTCCCCGAACACCAAAATTTTGCAGTTGGGAGAAGGAAAGGTACAAGTGAGAGGGTCAAAGGAATGGGCAGGGGGGAATGCTTAAAGCTACGTGGTTCAAGAGGACCTGTAAGCAGCAAACTGTGTTATCTGGTTATCAATTCATCCCTGGGCTCTCAGCTTTGGGGGCGACTGCCCTTTTCACACTGTATTGGCAGTGGCTGGGAGACCACCCAGCTCCTCAGAAAAGCAGAACAAGTCAATCCTAAAACACAAACGAAGTCCCACTGGCTGGGTCCTTTCTGTTTGGCACAGTACAATGCACCACTCTCTTTTTCAATATGCTCTGAGATCGCAGAGAGCTGTGTTATCCTTACAATTTTTTTTTAAATATCCTGCCAACAAGAAATAGGATAGCTAGAACATGGCAGACACTTGCCTCCAGTTCAAGGTGTGGGACTAACCTTACTCAGCAGCCCTGGGAATCCTCTGGGCAATAGGACAGGACCGTTTCTCTGAGGGTAAAGTGCACTCTTTGCTAACAGGTGGCCAGTGAAGCCAGAAAGCACTCCTAAACAGCAACAGTATATGACAGTGCAGTCATTCCTACAGCAAAGGGACTTCCAGCTCTTACCTGCGAGCTAAACTTTATCAGCACCATGTACTGGTTTGGAGTGGAATCTCGTATGATTTTCATGTGCTCGATTACTTCATAGAAGGAGGCCACAAACTTCATCAGGTCATGGCTGGTCATCGTAGCAGGGACCGTGAGGATACATAGCATGGCGCTGCGCCTTACGTCTTCCTTTAAAGAGGTCATCTTGCTGATAAGACAACAGTGACACAACTTCATCTCGTTTCAGAGAGGAGAAAGGCATAGCTGGACACATCACATTTCCAACAGCTGCACTTACTACAATAACTTTGTTGTCAATCTTAACCCTCTTTTGCACGTTTGTGTGGAAGAGAAGAGAAGAGAAGAGAAGAGAAGAGAAGAGAAGAGAAGAGAAGAGAAGAGAAGAGAAGAGAAGAGAAGAGAAGAGAAGAGAAGAGAAGAGAAGAGAAGAGAAGAGAAGAGAAGAGAAGAGAAGAGAAGAGAAGAGAAGAGAAGAGAAGAGAAGAGAAGCAAGGGCTGTGGTAAGCATCCAACATACCCATGTGAAACTATTATTCTTTAGCAAGGATTAAACTGTGCAGCTCCAATAAACAATGGTTTTGTCAGGAATAATTTGACATCTGTTTTTCTATAAAAACAGTTGAAGTTGGCAAGCCACAGATGCTCGGAACTATTCCTAGAACAAGTGAGCAATGTTTGTTACTATTTCAAATGCCCACTTTGTGTCTCCCGATAGCTTTCGGCAAGACCTGAAATGGAAGTTCTCACACAATTATAAAGGGATGGCATGGAATTGTAATCCCTGAAATATGGGATGAAACCTCCCACTGCAGACAGCTCCTCAGGCCTGCCACCAAGACCCCAGAGATCACAATTTAACTGTGGAATCCCTTGAGAAGTAGCTTTCAAATGTCATTTTTAAGGAACCTGCATTCGTCTTACACTCTGACAGCCCCTGCCACAAGCCCGTGCCACCTGGAGCAGCGTCACCCGCAGCTGGGAGACCCGGGCCAGCCTCGAGCTCCACCATTAACACAAGGTGCCATCTGCCCTTCCAGCTGCGAGTCACCCTTCCTGTTTGTCCCAGCTCAGGAGCCACAGCCCTGGGGTGACCGACTCACCCTTTTGGGTGGTGGCATTATTCAAGAGCTCTGTTCCCACTAGAGCTACAATTAGTCAAGCATTCTTACTTTGTTTTGTACAGATGCATAATGCCGTGAACGATTTCAACTGAGGGATTCCCACTGAAGAAGGAAATCTGGTCAGGGAGCTGTTTTGAAGGAGAGTCTGGAGCAGCCTCACACTCCTTACTTTGATCATCATGTTTATTTTTGTCCTCGGCAGATGCAGTCTCTGAAGATTTTCTTCCTTCCATACCGGCTTTTGTTTCATCTTTTACAAATCAAAAGTTTCCACATTACTAATGGTGCATCAGAAATGTCTGCTGTTCCCTAAGCACAGCCTGCATGTACACAACGGCATCCCAAAAAGTCAAATTACAAATGAGACACTTCTCATCTTTGCTGTTCCAGGGGAAACTCCAGAGCTGCCAAACGCCCACTGTGAGCCCCTGGCAGGAGCCGGCGCTGCAGATCAAGCTAGGAGAGTTTTGCATCATGCCTGGTGAAATCCCAACAGGCACCAGTATCAACACAAAGCAACTGGGACAGGCTTGCTGAGTAGGGGCGAGGAGCGGGCTGCTCCTTCTGCGCTGCTCTGATGGCAGCCTGGACATTTGACACAACTTGGAGCTTCTGTCTTGACACTTTCCCTCTATCAGGGAATTTAAATGTCTGCAAAGCTGAACGGTCCCATTCCTACAAACCAGCAACACTAACAAGCAAAACTCCAACCAGCCCGCAGCGTAGCCCAAAATAAATTAACCCTTTATAGAGTGGGAAATGTTCACCAGCAATAACCAGCTCTCTGGACCCCAACACACACTGCTGAACTTCTCTACTTGTTTTCCAAAGTGTGCGACTGACTCAAGACCTGCAAACCCAGCAGCACCTCCACCATCCCCACGCTGACAGACGGTTGCCACCGGCGGGGCCAGCGCCTGGGAAGCGCTGTGCTCCCCTTCCGCAATAGGGGGTCACCACGCAAGTGGGGTGGGCAACAACCGCAGACTCAAAAGACAGCGCTCCCCACCCCCGAGGCCGGTACCTGGCCGCGGCTGGATGGTCTCGATGATCACGTCGGTCATCTCCCTGCGGCCGAGGTGCTGGTGGAGGATGGCCGCCCGCTCCCCGGGGCCTTTCCCCTCCAAACAGGACGGCACGGAGGCTGGGGCCGCCCCGGTGCTCTCTGCAGCCATCTCCGGAGCTGCGCAGGAAAAATGGCGCGTTGGGACAGAGGGGTGGGGACAGAGCCCCAGTACGGGGACCCACCGGCGGTACCGGGACGGCGACCCCGAAGGCCCTCCGCAGGCGCCTTGGGGCCTGCGGAC